AATTATTTTTTTGCATTCGACAGCCGGTAAAAACCATTACTCGGCTCGATCAGTTGCTTTTCCACAATAAATTTTCAATGAGAAGCGGCCTCGAGCTCAATAAAAATTGTGGAAAACTGAGATATTTTAGTAACTACTGAAGATTATTCACTCAAAATTGATATTTACAATAATTTTTAGACGAGAAATAAGAAAGTTATAATATTTTGGAAAATGGGCGTAGCCACGCTGACTTATTGTTACATGTGTATATCTTGGTAACCACTGCACCAATTTCTTCAAAACTTGGCACAGTTGTTAGCCTTGCTACAGCATACCAAATGGCTGAAAATTTTTAAAATCGAAACATAACCACGCCCACATCTCATGTAACGGTAATTTGGAGAAATACGAAATCTTCGATAAATCAGTAAATATTAAAGCTAATTTATTCAAAATTGATGCTCGCAACAATTCTTTACCAAGAAATACGTTTATGATAAAATTTTGGAAAGTGGGCGTGGCACCGCCCACTTATGATCACATATATGGGTGTTTCCATACAGCCGTACGCGACATTCGTACGCTTATAGAGTAACGTAAATCTATCTAAAATAGAAGTTACTGAAAAAAACATTACGGTTATCGTACAACCAAAGGGTACTATGTTTGAGAAAAAAATAAGCTGCCTCGAAACTTTGGTGTGGAAAATATCCGTTCAAAACCAGGTGATAACGTACGCGACAAAAAAAAGAAGTGGTTTTAAGGTACATATACATATATGCGAAAGTCTGCGAATCATGAGTTTTTCTTTTCTTTAAAAATTCCTAAACTAAGCTAAATAATGTACCTTTACAATCCTTCCATTTTTTGATAGAAATCATCTCTGGTTAGTTTTTATTAAAAAAAATATAAAAACGTACGCGACATAACGTTCGCGACAGATTTTTGCCCCATACAATATTTTTACTAGTAACACATACTAAATTAAATTTTTTCAGATCTTCTCTCCACCGTTTCGCGTTTTCAAAACCTTTTTCCGCCATCTGAATACGAAATTTAAAGTTATAAAGCCGTTTGAATTCATTTGCTTGCATTTTCGGTTTACATTTTCATGGAAACACGCTTATATGCGAAAGTCTGCGAATCATGGGAGTTTTTCTTTTCTTTAAAAATTCCAAAACTAAGCTAAGTAATGTACCTTTACAATCCTTTCATATTTTAAGAGAAATTATCGCTGGCTAGTTTTATATTAAAAAAAAAACTATAACGTACGCGACAATTTTTCTCGTAAGTAATGAAATGTACTTACTGAGAACTCTTCTCGCCACCGTTGCATTGTTTTACAACTATTCTAAATAATTTAAATGGAAAATTTGCACGTAACATTGGTTTTGATGTATTTGATTGAAATTTTCGTACTTACAATAACGTATGCGACAAACTTTAAAGGGTAATAAAATTTTTTTTTCTTCGGTTGAAAAGAAAATTTTCCTGTATATCTTTAACTGGAAGAATTCTCGCTTAAGAATTGTAATCTGCATTACCTGCGACTGCCAATGTACAAATGACATAGACAAACAAAGTGTTTGCATAACGTACGCGACATTAAAATACTATCAGAAGCAAATCAAAAAATTACCGTTATTCGAGCTCTAACTTCTCTTTTTCTCATTTTTATAGTTAGTTGTTATTGCAAATTTGATTTTAAGATGTAATTGTAATGTTTCAGATCTCTTAATTTAGTTAATAGGAAAGAGAAAATAGTTCATTTCATTAGAGGAAACTAAGTCGAAGAGACATTCAGTTTTACTCTTCCATTTTAGAGTTTTAAAATTCCAATAAGCTGAAATACTTCTATAATATAACAATTCGAGTATTTTTCTCTTATTAATTCGTCCTAAAACCCTTTTCAGTTGTTTTTATTTTTTCAGTCCTGGTTGACATTTTCATGGAAACACCCATATGTATCTCGGTAACAGTTCTACCAATTTGTACCAAACTCGGTATGGTTATTGTGCTTGCCACATAAAAGAAAATGTTGAAAATTAACGAAATCGGACTAAAATTGAGGTTGCTTTTCATATAACGGTAAATTTCAGAAATGCTAGCTTTCGGAAAGGTGAAAATCATATATTTAAATAATACTTGCGCCGGGTATTTAATGTTCGGCTCTGCCCGAACTTAGACTTTTTGACTTGTTTAATATAAAACACACATAAATTGGGGATGGACTTTAGACAAAAATCGACTTTTCGCTGAAAAAACTCTGCTTTTTGGAATCGACTTCAGTCGCCTTAGGTTGACTAGAATTAACTCCCGATCGATGACTTTTCGCCTTTTTTTTACTTAGGGCCAGTTTCAGATGAATATTTAAATGACACTTTAGTTTGATTTTGGGTGGTTATTTAAGTGCCATTTAGTTTTCGTTGGGTTGCAAACCAACTTTATTTAAATATGCCAAACAAGTGGTAACACTGTTGCTTATTCCTTGAAATTGCTGTTGCATTCTTTTGTTTGTTTACATTTTGATCGGAACAGCTGATTGTTGTTTTGGCAAGATGGAAGAAGCATACTACAATAATTTTATAATGGCTCCAAGTTTAATATCCGCTGACTGCTCAAAAATCAGTCGATGAATATATGTGGCTTTAAAATTTCATATTGATATTTAATTTTTAATTTCATTGAAAAATCGTGTGCAAGTGTTATTATTTCCTTTATTATTATTATTATTGCATTATAGCAACATCGCCTCTTCAATTATGTAATATTCAAAATATGGCAATACAATTTAAATAAACGGCATTCAGCAAGAAGCGTTCAATACTACACATAATTTTATAATGGCTCCAAGTTTAATATCCGCTGACTGCTCAAAAATTTACAAATCAGTCGATGAATGTACTATGTGGCTTTAAAATTTCATATTGATATTTAATTTTAAATTTCAATGACAAATCGTGTGCAATTAAATGGTAAAATATAATTTTTTGGGTTATTAAAAATAATAATTTTATGTGCATTACTTACTAAAAGTATTAATTTTTTTTTTAATTTTCAAAAAGTCAATTTAAGTCATAAGTCGACAATCAGAGGTGATTGATCCACTTTAAGATCAAAAACCTAAACGTCGATTCCGAAGTCAAGAATCGATTCTGTGGGTGCCTTTTACTTCCCTAACATAAATTTGTATTTCATGATGCTGATAAAAAAGCCCTAAAACAACAAATGTAATAAGGTGTTTCCCAACTTTTAACGAAGAAACTTCTCCGATATCTACAAGTAACGGTACAAGATGTTCTTTAAAAGAAGCAATGTACCTATTCAAGTGAGCCGGCGTGTATGAGTAGCAAAAATAGAATGAAAATTATTTTCACTTACGTTATCGATGGTGCAATTTTGAACCAAGTATTCTTCCGCTTGCGGTATAGCCTCAATTTCGTTATTAAGAATGGCAGGGGCGCACTTATGTTGAATACCGAGTACCTGAATAATGTAAAGTAACTGAATCTTATTAAAATTACTTTCAGGCTTTTACGGCACCTACCAGGTGTTAGCAATTGAACGAGGAATCTTTTTTCCAGCACATACGCATTCGCTTTGATGTTCACCACAGTTGCATTCATTGTTCCTAGGTATTACATTGCTATCAGTTTTACCCTGAGGCTTCTTATTCTTACCACCACAAGAAGAGCAAGGCCTTATGTCTTCATCTATGTTTCTAGATTTTGCAGCAGTTGCCGACTTCGAATATTCAATGGCGTCAAAATTGTAGTCATTATCATTTGGTATATTTCTAATTGTTAAGTCGTCGTAAAAAATAAAACTTCTCTTTTGCTTAGAGTTTTCAGCAGTGCTTTGAAAGTTTGGAGCATCGTCAGGTAATGGAACTGGAAATGGATGCGGTTTGATTAGCACAGGATACTCCATTTCTTGGGAAAATTTTCTAATTTTCGCTTCTAAATTTTCGTCATGTGGATGTAATACATCTATCATATTAAGTTTATCATTTAGGTTTAGATGCGGATCAGTAACGATTTTTTCAAATGAAATTTTTTTGGGATTGTATTTATAATATTTGTGATTTTTAGGTTCCTCTGAAATTCTTCTTCTTGCTTGTAGTGATGGATTTGAATCTTATAAGAAAAAATTATTAATGTCGTTTCTTTTTGTGATAGTGTGATAATAGCTGTGTTTTTTTACACGCATATACATCTACGCTTAACGTTTAAAAAACAGTCATCGACAATTTCCATTCTAAAACAAGTAATTTTGATTTTATCGACAACTATTCATAAGCGCACATAAAGTTTGTCGCTTAGAGCTCCATACAATTTTTAAGCGCAGATATGTACGTATACTTGTAAAAAAAAAACAGGCCTAATATCTTACAATATCCTCTATAATAGGAATCAGAATCATCGGTTATAAATAAGCCAGAATATTCTCTAGAATTTCTCCCATTTGTATCTTTTAAAATTCCAACCGAACTAAAAATATATCGATTAATAGAAATAAAGGCTAATTTAGTTATTCAAATTTCATATATAAATACATACTCATTAGGAAATATATATAAATAAATAATTTTGTTTAAGAATAAATATTAGTTTAAACCTAAATTACTAATGTTCGTCGATTCAACGACTACCACTCTTATTTTAATTTTCTTTTTACTGCGTGGTCTGTCTGCGGTCAAATTTTATGTACGGTTAGACCTTTATTTTCTGTTGTTGAGAGAAGACGTGTTTTTTTATACCCGAGCGCACTTGTGCACAAGGGTATTATAACTTTGTTCGCATAATGGTTGTTTGTAACAGCCAAAACGAATCGAGATAGATATAGACAAATGTATACATAAATGCTCAGAATGAATAGAGAAGTCGATTAAGCCATGTCTGTCTGTCCGCCCGTCCGTGTACACGATATCTCGAGCAAAAATTGAGATATCTCAACGAAATTCGGTATGTGGTTTCCCTTTATTCAAGGTAAGTTGGTATTGAAAATGGGCGAAATAGGGCTGTAACCACGCCTACTTCCCATATAACGGTATTTTCAAAAATGCAAAAATTGCAATATTTCAGTAAATATTACGTCCAAATCATCATCATCTTCATCTTCATCTTCATCTTCATCTTCATCTTCATCTTCAT